AAATATTGACACTGTAGAATTTGTTTAGCTCATACTCAGGGTAAATTGGCATTTTTCCTTCTACAAGGAACCTTTAATAGAAATTCTCTTGCTTTGGAAACATTATGTTTCCAAAATTCATTCTGATACCAGAGGCAGCTGACTGAAATTTGCGTTATTTTTCAGTCTCAGAGCTCTTACAAACACTTTTCCTGTACACGGACACAGAAACAAGGAGAGTCCCAGCTTTTTCAGTTCAGCTGTTCTGGCTTTCTGAACCCCAGATTTTTAGAACTGATGAAACTATCATGGCTGAAATATAGTTTGGGACTCCTAGATTCCCTAAAATGTGCTCACCTTGAAGAACCGGTGTTTCAAGTCAATGAACCATAAAATACCAGCCAACAGCAGCTCACAGCCCCAGGAGTTCACAGCTGATCACAGGGAGCCAGATATCACTTTTGCCTTTCACTGTGAATCCTCCTAACTGTACCCCACAGGTTCCCATCCTCCTCACCCCTGCCCAAATAAACCTGCCTTCTTGCAAATACTCCATTCAAAGAAAATTTCAATAGCAGGACATTATCTGGAGATTATAGCATTTTGGAAAGATAAAATTTCATGGGTGCATAAGTAATATTTTTTTTAACTATGATTACATCTCCAGGAAGAAAAGTTAGGAAAGGGCCATGGAAATCAACATAGCTGACTGTGCACAGTGCCCTAAATAATTAATCTATTCAAAACTCCAATGAAAGAGAAGGGAAAGTTTCTTGGAACTTGCCTAACTCCATTCAGTGTGCTTGTCTAATAAATGCTGGTCCCTGGGACATCCAAAAATGAACAGCAAATGAGAACTCCAGAATTCACCATTTCTAGTTCTGGGTTCAAAATGCAGTTTCTAAAACAGCTAACTTCAGAAAAAACAAAATTCTGTCCTTGAAAGGTTTTTTACTGTTCTTGACCATAGCTGATTGGTATATCATTTGCACCTCACACTCAAAATCAATGTCACAAGACAGAAGAGTTATATTCTGATGTTTCATGTGTACCAGCTTGCAAAATATAGAAGAGGAGGAACTGCAATTTTACCCTTTCACTTTCAGTATCTGACTGATGGCCATTTTACAAAATTATGTTACTATTTTCCTGGTTTACAAAATCAGTGACCCATAAGAAATAGCTTTGAAATCATGAGCTACTGAATGCATAGACTAGTGTCATCTCATTCACTAAACATGTTATCAATAGAGGTATTCATGTTCTGTTCCATTTTGTCTTTTTTTTTTTTTAATTGTAGTCTTTGAATATTAAAAAAAAAACCCTGCTAAGTAGGTCTTTTCTTATGTGATAGAAGATAAGAAAGAGTATAACCCAGTCAACTGCAGTCCACAGCTGAAATATCACATACATTGTCAGTTTAATAATGTTCATCACTCAGATAAAATTTCATTAGCAAAAACTTACAGCAAAAGTCAATGAGGCTAAATTCTTTGTACTCATTTCTCTTCATCGAAACACACAATTGTATAATCTGATCTGTTTTAGTTACCTTTTCTATACACCTGAAAGTTCCAATAAAACTGCACAAAACTGAGTTTCAAATAAGCATCTTAACAGAGTCTGGTGCAGAACAGAGGTAGAAGCACTGAGAATATTTTGAAACAATACTTTGATTTCAAGATTTTCATATCACCAGAGACCAAGAAGCTGGTAATTAAGAATTGGCAATCTGCTGAGAAAACATTTTCTCTAGATTACCATTAAATTGAAAAGAGAAGTACAAATTTATATTTGAACTAATAAATTAATCAATCATCTAACTGCACAATACTCTTTTTATAATTTATAATTTTATCATTTATAGCAAGTGTAATCTAGTAAAATAGCTTAAATGATAAGAGATTGTTCTCCTTAAAAGGAAGTCCTATAACAGACACACAAACAAACAGCAAATTAAAAAGCCATAACAGCAGTACTTCTATTGGCTTTTATTCATTATCATTTCACATCGATTACCATCATGCATTTTTAATTATGAGGACAAAGATCTGACCAAAGCATTTTAGTATCTCTGTTTGTGTAGGCTTTTAACAATGCATCATGCAGTGCTTGTCATATGGTCTGAAAAATTATCAAATAAGTAAGAGCTGCCTTCAGCAAACACCATCTTTCTCGTTGACAGAAATACTCAGCACCTGTTGCAGTTTTTTCAAAAGGAGTCTCTCCAGCTCAGTTACACGGTCCTCCAAAATATCTGCTTGCTATAATAGTGAGAAATGTGGCTTTCGTTCCTACTACTTCTTCGTGCTTGTCATTTTCACTGGTTGAAATTCAGATTAATATTGCTAATAACAGACTCTACCTGCAAGGTCTTTTTTCGTTATTTTGTTTAAAAAGACTCTTAATTGGTTCAATTATGAATTATGGTTTCAACACAAAGTAATTTAAGTGAATAGGCTTACCTTGCCTTGCATAGATTAAGTCTTCTGCTAGCAAGGGAGTAAAATCAGACTTTTTCTCATCAAATTCAATTTAAACTTATACACAGGTGTATATCACAGCATATATATATATATAAATATATATATATTCCTAGAAACTCAGCAAGATTTACAGTCCTTGCAAAGGAACAATAAAAACTGCCTTCACTTCTATTTTCTCCTTTTACCTTCATATATTTCAGGAGAGGTCTGGAAGTAGATTAATTAAAGGAACAAAACAAATGATCCACGTCCTTGTCATCAGTCACATAATTGGTCCATCAGCACTGCAAAAACTTGTGAGGTCTCATGCTCTCTTCTGCTGATTTTTTCTACTTAAATGTAATGTAGAAACTTTACACCTGGCCCCTGATGAAGGTCCAGATTTCTGGGATTGCAGTAAGCATGGCAGAGAAGAAACAATTTGATTTTACAGAAAATGGAGGGAAACAAACAAAAGGAATAGAAAACCCAGGCCATCTATGTCCCTGCAGACACCTTTACATGTGGAACCACAACAAAAGGAAGTTATTAGTGCTCTACACATCACAGGACTGTTTGGCACAAGAGTCCCACCTCATCTTTGCCACACTGGGAGAAGTTGAAGAAAAAATGAAATGTCAACATGCAGAAATCTGAGAGCTGCAGTATGGAAATGGGGAAAGAAGAGCAAAAGGAGGCTGTGTTCCCCTGCTCCCACGGCTAAATATATGATGGGAAATTTCAAAATGTCCCCTAGAGATGTACAAAACACTCACTGGTGGTGAGAGACTTCTCCAAGGCCAAGCTGTTCAGGTATAAGCAGTTCATTATATGGGTAGAGGGAGGAAGAGACCCGTTTATGCTGCCAGCCACCGCGTACACGTTGTCAGGGAGCGAGAGAGGGTGGTCCAGGGAGAGAGATAGTTTAAGAGCCAGGGGAGAGAGCTTAAGAGAGCAGGGAGAACAAGAGAGTGAAGTTCTTGTTACAATACATTATATCCTTTTCTACAGTGAATGTTCTAATTCCCAGTAACCAATCACTACGAGACACACCCACTAAAAAATTTACATATAGCCAATTAGAACTACTATATTACCATACAGTGCTACATTTTAAATTCTAAAAGCTTTACAAATTCTTCTCTTGCTGCTTGACCTTTTGATTCTCTGTCTGCAGAAGGACATTGTTTCATCAACAGGGATTCTCCTTCAGCTGGCTAGGCTGTTTTCTTTGGTTATATTGTAACTAGCACTCAGTATCCCATATACTCAAAGCTAGCTTTCATTCCTATTTCGATTCTAGGTTTCACATTTTCAGAATCTTTTGCTAAACAATCATATTCATAAGGTTTCTCTGTTTCATCCTCCCCAACAGTCCCCAAAATAAGAAGGGAAAATGGGAAAATGAGGATGCAGAATTAAAAGTGAGGTAAGCTACTAGTTTCGTACTTTTTTAGGCTTAAACACTTCAGAGCAGGGTTTCTTCTTTTCTTTGTTCAGCACAATGAGGGCAAATGTCTTAGTGCTTGTGTGATGTAGAGAGCAGAGGCAGTACCTTAAGAACTGCACGTAAGGCAAACAAAGTGGCTGAATGCATTGGGAGAAAAATTCTGTTGTCGATATATTCTTTTCCTTCTCAGTGTTTAATGTTTACTGTTCAGAGTATTTAAGGTTTGAGGTTTGCATTGACCTTTTTAGGACAAATGACAGGCTCAAAGCTAAACACACGTTTAGATGTTTTGGCATAGCAGAGAAATTAAGCCCAGCACAGCAGAGGATTAAATCTACACTATAGCCACTGCAGCCTTCACATTGCTTTATTGCTAATTTTTGCACATATGTCTGTGATCGGTTACAAGGCTCTGACATATGGTGCGTGCACCTGCTAAGTCAGCCAGGGCTATTGCCTCAAACAACACGGACACTTGTGGCAGGATCTGCAAGAATATAAATAAGGGATTATAATGTCCCTCATGCTGTAGTGCTTTGCATTCCCCAAACAGCACTGTGGCAATGCAGTAATCTCAGATAAACAGTCTAAAATGTTCTGTAAGCATGCTACAGAATAGATTCATCACTCTCCCATAGTTAAGCAAATTTATTACTAATTATGCAAGATTTAAATTGATAAAGTGTGTTTTCAGGGTTTGGTATTCATTTGCATGATTTGGTGTGGAATATGAGCAGAACACTTATCTACCACAGTCACGTTTTTATCTGTAAAATTACATTAATTGCTCAAGAAATTGGCAACCACATTTGTGTGAGGGAGCCATAACGTTCAACCAGTCTTTGTCACAGAGCTGGGCAATAGCATTCACACGTTCCTCCAGCACCAGCCTCCCTGACTTGTTCCCTCTGCATCTCCCAGGGATGTTCCCCCACTGCCCAATTAATGCCCTGTTAAACTGCTCACCTGCAGAGCCTTTTATTCCCAGGCCTCTGAGCGAAGCTTTAATCCCTCTGCTACACATCCCTTCCTGCAGGGCTGCCGCGGTTCTTGATGCGTTTTCAAGTTCACTCCGAGTACTGAACAGCCTCTCCTGCCGGTTTTCCAGCGCTTAAAGAGGTTATTCCTTACCAGATCCTTTAGGACCTACCTGTACACCAGATTCTTCAGACCGCAGCTGTAGTCAGGTTTTTAAAGCAACTGTTTGCACACATTACAGAGAGCTATGTTTATTCTGCTGTGTTTCACCACATTTGTTTTGGCATCAGCCTCTTCTGACAGATTGGAAATAGCACAACAGCAGCTCTGCAACTGCCCATACGATGACTTTTTCTGTAAAGGGGCTTTTCAGGACAAAGAATATCAAGTTCAAATATCAGAGCTTTCATGGCATTTAATACCACATATCTAGATCTGGTCCTCAAAAGTAGATTCTGGACTGTATCTGCAACATGGACTTTTGCCAGAGTTCACCTTCTCCTATTCCACTTATTATGAAAAAAAATTGCAAATCATGTATTTGTCTCAAAAATATCAGGAAAACATCTTTAAAGATTTGAACACAATTAAATATAAACCTCAAAATTTCATTTTCTATTTGGATTTGAATACCATTATCTTTTCTCTGTGTACCCAGGTAATTTTATATTCTAGGATGCAATACCATATCCTCAGGCACAAGAATAAAAATTGAATTTTTTCATTTTATCCAGTTCTTAATATTTTTGTACGGGTATTGAATGTGTGGCTAACATCACTGTAGTAGAGGCAATTAGCAAAGTATGACTTTTTTTTCCCCCTTTTAAATATCCCTCTGTACACTCTGGCAGTCTTTTTACATCTTTTTTCACACTCCTCAATTAAATTATTCCCCATGCTTACACCTGAGTACACAGATTATATAGTTCAAGTGACATATTTCAAATTCAGGCTTTTGAATCTTTCCTATTCCTAGTCCTGCTAGCAATTTTCACCTATGGAAGACTCTCCAGAACACATTACCATTAAAATCTGCCAGAGACTCTATGCAATATTAGTCAAGGCATCTTTAATAATGCAAGAAAGGTCAGCAGCTCACAGAATATCAAGCTACATATCAAAGAATTATGAATCTTTTTCTCTGTGCAGATTTCATAGGTATTCTTTGGGGCTTTTCCCTGATTCATTTTATGCCAACAACAGAGGATTTGTTTCATTTTCATCATATACCAGAAAAAAAAGAAAATAAGAGGAAGAAAAAAAACTTTCTTATCAAATGAGAGTAAGAGTGTCAGTATATAAATCACTTCTTATATGTCAGTACATAAGTAGGGATCAGGTATGTAACACACTTTCTACATGAGAAGTAGCTGATTCCTACTAATTCAATTAGAAATTGCATTGTAACTCCATGTGCAAAAGTGACAGCCAGAACTTATGGCTGCACAGGCCATGTCCTCTCCAAGCCATCGAACACAAGGAGCTAAATTCCATATTTTGTTCCTTCAATGCCACTAGAGTTAATGTTGCTTTACAACTAACAGGTTTTTCCTGGAACAGCTCAGGATGTGATCACATAGCAGAGCCCTGACCTCTTGACTACATAATGCTTTTGTGATCAATAGCACTGAAATTAATGTGTTTATCATATCAGAGCATTTTAAAAATTTCATACATACAGTCACTAATTACCTCCAGTGCCCATGATACAGCATTTTGAAGTGCTGGTCCAGTGCTTTCAAAATTCTGCACAGGAAAAAGTTGAATTAGGCAGTCTGAAAAATCAAACCAAACTAATTTCTTCTGTTCTCCCCAGGTCATTAATCTTCATGGGACAAATTACCACCGGCAGCTCAACAGAGTGGCACTGATGGACTGGGGAGACAACAAAGCCACTCTGGCATAACTGAGAGGAGCATTTTCCTTGTATCCTCTGCAACTTCTTCCTTGAATTTCCCCATATTTCCTTTTTCTTTTTTTTTTCTTTTTTTTGTGCAATTTATTAGAATTTATTATTTTTAATTAATGTATATTTAGCATGATTTATTCAAACTCACATTGAGCCATCCACTGCTGAACAACATGACCACTGTGACTGCAAATTGACAAAGCAGTTTTGACAGGGTATCTTTTCTGCACACAGTTCTGCAAGAATAGCAGAACTATTCTGATAAAAGAGGAGCAGAAGAAGTCTTACAATATTTAAAAATTACACAGGGTCCTGGTATAGCAATAGAGGCAAAATATTAAAATAAAAAACTGTCAGCTGAATTCAGGGGGGGATTGTCATGATGAAAATGTGAGCTCTCGAGGAATGCAACAGCAATGCAGGAAGATGAGTTCCAACTTAAAAAAAAACCAGATTTTAAAAGATTTTAAAATCAAATTATAAACAGAATACTAAAACATCTATTTCATTTTCCCAGACAGAAATTATGCTCTTTTCGGTATGTTGTGATATATGCACAAATTAACTCCAGGTCACATTTGCTTTTGTCTTTAAGCTTAAGGGGATGAAATACTCCAGCCTTTTCTTTAACCTATAGCATAACAGTAAAAGGCACTGATGAGGTCACAAGAGTACATAATAAGTGATCAGTAAAGAAAATGGTGGCATACATTGCTTTTCCCTTGCTGTACTTAGTTCTCTGGAAAATGATCAACAGTAGCTTGCAGCTAAATCATACCCTATTTTTCTGTTATCAAATGGGGTTAAAAAGTCATGTAAATAAATATACATGAACTAAACAGAAACAGCTGGAAAGTTCCCAGAAGGGACCTCTAACAACCTCCAAGTTGGATGGACCATGGTAGATCAAGGGATCATCATTAAGATTAAAGGCTTACACCAAACCTGCTGTGAAATTCAAACTGCTGAATTTAAACTTTGATGGCACAAACTAGAAAGTACTAAATGGTGGTATTTATTAATTCTTAAAAAGCCAGATGATGAGAGGGCTGTTACATTATCTGCATTCCAAATGTGCATGGTGCAATTTGTTGAGATTAAAAAAATCTGTAGATACCTCCTGTGAAAGTCAAACATTTCAGGCAAACTCATTCTTGTATTGGTTTCCTGGAGAAAAAAAAAAATATCAGCATCATTAGTGCTTTTGGGGTTTCTTTTAAGGGCTTCAGACCAACTTCATTAGAAAAACACACCATAGAAGTGACTGGAGCTAAATCTTAAGTCTTGGAGGAAGGAGCTTTTTTACCTTGGTTGACCTGTGCTATTCCAAATCTATTTGATGGCATTATGCTCCTGTGCCTAACAAATAACTAAGATGACAGCTGTCTGAGACTGAAAGCATTACTCAGTGTCTCACCATCCTTGTGGGATACCTTCTCCCTGAATTGTTTTTCTAAACTAAGTTAGAGAAATGTTCTACAAGTCCCCTGCAAAGGAGAGGTTTGGCGTCTCTGCTGCAGGGAGATGTTCACACTGTTTACACTGCACGCTGAGTCTCTGCACAGATGCCACTCTCTAACTCACTCAGCACTTCTCAGCTAAGATCTGTTACCAGCCACAAGGTCCAAATGTTTGAAATCTCAACAATCTCTCTGGAGTGAATGAACAAAAGAAAGCTCCCTTCTTTTTAGAGTAAGTTTTGTATCTCCAAAGAAGACAGTGTGACAGTAATTAGTTATACTTGTTAAGAGATTTACACAGGAAATGCTCCCTCCACAGACAAGCCGTGTGGAATTTATGTATATTTGGAAAAATATTTAGACTTCTGTCATGGCTTTGCCATCTGTATTCCTTGGCAATCATACTCCTTGGGCAAAGAGCTATGCTGACAATGTAAATTAGGTCAGAGTGACATTGGTCCTCTGGGTATGCTGGAAAATATTCAAAACTGCAAAAGAATAGGTGCATCCTGTAATGTGGGAGGAATTCCTCATTACTTGAGACTGTATTTTCAAATTATAACTGTGCCCTGATCCTTTCAGTCAGCACAGAGCCACATTCCACAGCTAGCAATCTAGTATCTGGCACTTGGGCTGGCTTAGTCAGACCTTTGTCAACTGGAAAAGTGGTGGATTTCACTTTAAGCATTAAAAAATATTTCATTTTTAAACACTTGACCCAAAGAGTTTACATTCTCTTCTAACACTGGATGGCATATTTCAATCGGCTTTAAAGCTACCATATCAACAGATCCCTCTGAATATCCTGATACCTACGTGCCAAAAACCTGGGACCTGCAGGAGAATCTGTCTTGAAAAAAGTATTGGCTGAAGGAGGGATCTGTTTATAAATCAGGTCGTGGGGGTTCAAGCTTTTAGCAAAGGGGGAAGTTCAGTAAAAGATAGTATGGGGAAAGTAGAACTAGTTATGAAGATGATTTTCTTTAGTTATGCAGTTTTTAAAAGTGCATCCATTTCTGCTCCATCTTACTTTAATTTCACAACACTTACAAGCATGGCACATTTTATAGGAGCTTGGAAGAAGCTTCCCTGCACAGATCCCTCCATTCTGCCTATCTGGAATATGTTCTTGGAAGATAAACTGATACAAACAGACAGCAAAGCACCTTTGTGAGTTGATTTGTGAAAATTGTTTCTGTGAGTAAACAAATGTATTTCCTTACTCTTGACAGACAGCCTCATTAAATTTTCATAAAAGATCTGCATTATTAAAATTCCTATTCTCTTCTGAAGACTGAAGGTATAGGAGTCTCAGGTGACAGTATAGTACCTATTCAATGAAATTTTTTATAAAGATGCTATTTTTAAAAAGAACACTTAGCAATGGAGCAAGTGACCTGTTTTGTTTTGGTTTTTTTTGCAGGAAGAAGCCCACTCTTACTAACAGGAAAGATAAAAACAACCACTTGACTTTAAGTGGAAAAGAGCCTTAGTTACACTAGGAGCCCACCCTGTCTTTCTGGATTATCTTGCTTAAAGAAGTATTTTCAGAAAACAAGAATAAAGTGTTTCAAGGAGTGTTTTTACAAGTGTTGACTTATTTTATAACCATCAAAGTGTAGTGTGTGGAAATAAAAAGTAAGAAACAAAATGTGCAAAAAATCTTCATAACCAGGTATTTGTACTGCTCTTTTCACTCTGACTCCTGCCTATAAAACATGTATCTGCTATTATCCTCCTGCCAGATGAAGAGGCAAGGTTGTTAAAAGTGGTCTGCCAAGAAACTTTTAACTTCTGAGCACATCATCACAGCAGACATAAGATTTTTCCCTGATGAGTGCAAATTACTGTAGGACTGGTGGATCTCCGGCACACAAAGAGCAATACACTCTACCCTGCATAGAAGAGTGATTTTCACTTTGCATGATAACAAGCCTTTTGTATTTTTTAAGTCACTAACAAAGTACCTCTGCAGGAGGCCGCTGTGTTAGTCTTCATTAAAGGATCCAGATCGATAGATTAAGCAAAAAAAAAAAAAAAAAAAAAGGGCACTCTTGAGCTTTATGGGAATCACTGGAACCAAAAGAAAAGTTGCCACTGCATCAAACAATGAGATTTAGGAAAAAAAAAAAAAAAAAGAACTTAATTTCAGAAGTCAGTGCTCAAGTAGAAATAAGGCAGAGAGGTAAGTCTAGAGATGGATTTGCTGCTAAGTAAAATAGAAGAAAATTTGGAAACACCTGGAAGCCATTCAGGAGATGTGACATTGCAGATACAGTGGCAGCAGGTACCTAGGTGCACCTCTCCTTGGCAGGCTCTGCTCCCTTAACAGCTCCCTAGCAGATCATGGCAACCGGTTTCCTCCTAACCTGTACAAAAATGACCCATTTTATTCAACCATCTCCAACAGACACAAACTTATCATGTTTCTGGCTCACCTTTGCTTAGCTCAAAGAAAATACTTGGTGAAACTTGGAACTGGGTGTAACTCACCAAGCCTGCACTGTTTAAAATTAGTTCGTTGTGGATAAGACACTGTGCTAAATATTAAGGAAACATTGGGAATCCCAATTCAGATAAGCAGGCTTTTGTTACTCTTTCAGAAGCAGCTTTAGTAAGAACTTCAAGTAATTTAATAAAACTTCATCTCTATTAAAGGATGTGAGAAAGAGCCCAACTACAGGAGAGAGTACTGGGAAAGAAGGATACCTGAGGGAAAAGGAAAATATTTCTATCAATTAAGAACTGGGACTGTCGGTAAGAACTGTAGAGCACAGAAGCTTGGCACAGTAAAATCAGAGAATGTTTCTGCTTTCAAAATGGGAAGTTATTACAGTCTGCAGTCAGAAAGGAGATGAAAGCTGCACCAATGAACTGAAGCACCAAACTCGCACTTGAGAAACCATAAACTAAATGCCTATTAAAAAGCCAGAAATCAGACAGAGAAACATGCAAGGGACAAGGTTAACTATCATCAAAGAGAAGAATTGAAAGAAGGTCGATAACAGCTTGGACAGGAAAGGAAGATGAATAGAAAATTGTTCTGGACCACCTCAAACCCCTGCTCAGCAGAAGGGTATTGATAGGATTTGACGTGACCAAGGAAAACATGAAAGATGTGTCCTTTCTCTCACAAAGTGAACTGAAGAAAAAAAACACATAAAAACAACAAGACAGAAAAGAAAGAAAAGCCAAAGTCAGAGAAACCTCCTTGCAAGTTCCTGAGATTTGCTTAGGACGAAGGACAGACTTTCAATCGGACACTAAAATCACCTTTTTAAACCACCATTTCAGAAAAGTGCTTTGCATATTTACATAATATGGGTCATTGTATAATGACAGGGCTTTCTGTGTATTTCACCCTTTTGTGTATTTTAATCATATTGAATCACTTTTTACTATTGACAGAGACATAACTCATTTGAAACTCTTTGAAAAATCTCCAGCTGGTTATCCTGCTTGCCCAGACAAGAACCAGAACAGCAGACATCTCAAACACTGCAATAATCTCATCAAGAAAACCAAAGCAAAATCTGTACTATAAAAATGTTTATGAAAAGAAAATGGGACGAAACTGCTCTGGTGAGATAGGAAATAAATCTGGACAATCTCAGAGAAGAATTTCTTCTGGCATAGGATACTCAGAGATTTTGGTAAGTCCTTTTGTCCCCTTATGCTTCAAGTTCCTTACCCATCTAAGAAAAAAACAAAGTTATCATGGCTTTGAGGTTTTTGCTTAGGTGTAAACAGTTTGGAGCTCTGATTTTCTGGTGACCATGGCCATTACTGCAATGAGTCTCTGCTTCTCAGCATCACTTTAATGAAAAGAAATTTTAACTGGTACTCTCAGTGGGAGTAAATGACTTTTCAACAAGTGACAGGAATTTGTTGGGGTGAGTTGTATTATAGTCATTCCAGACACTGGAAATTAATGAGGAGAAATATTTGGGAGGGGAAGTAAAACTGCTTCTGGCCTCCAGAGGCCTGAGTGGGATTGGGTGTGTGGGTCGGTCCAAAGCCACTGGTCGTAGAAGCTACAAGCAGAGCCACACGGCAGGCAGACAGGACAGGGAAAGAGCATTCACAGGGCAAGGAGAAGTGGAGCAACCACACTGAGCTCAGCAAGTCTTTCAGATCTGCCAGGGAGATCAAACAAATGGAAGGGACAGATCTACAAAGCCTTCCATATCCTTTCTTTCAGATCTCATAACTCTTTGCTTCTACTGCACAACACTGACTTGCTCACTGAGAAACATCTTCAGCAAACACCAGCAGTGACCAGCACAGAGACATTCAAATTGTGACTGCCACCAAAAGGCTCAGTCCTACTTTAAAACCCCTTGGGAAAGCCACATGAATAATGAAGTGTAAAAAAACCCAGACAGACAAATTTCTTGCAGATCAGTGTGCTAAACAGGACAGAACTGGTGGGCAAAATGGGCTGTTGCAAGAAGCAGCTTGCTCAGCCTGTGTTCCATCTGTTATCTGCAGACAACACAGTTACATTCTGTAATTTTTCCATATAACATCTCAAACTCTGTGTATTTAAAGACGAAGCTTAATCAAGATCAAGAACAGTGGTATTCAGCTGTCGTGGTGATAAAAGCTTGAAAGATTGTCTAGATGAGCTCTTGATTCATGCAAGCATAAGTAAAGCAGAAGCCAGCAGGTGAGAAAATGGCCCCAACTGAGCAAACTGAGCTCCTTCCAGGGTTACAAGTATTTAAGAGTGTTTTGTTAAAGATTTTGGGGAGGACTGAAGTGTAGGACCTGTGACAAAATTCCATTTTCTCTAGATTTCCTAACAGGGATGATAAGTTCTATATAAGCTACAGCACGTGTAAAGGACTTAATTTTTTTAAAACTTGTTCTCCATTGCAGGTGTAATTGTGATGAATTGTCAATCAAGATAAATACAACCCGTTGATGAATTTAAGAACGTAAAATTAGAGGCTGGTAGCAAGACAACAATGGTCGGAAAACACCGTGAGCAAATGATGGATGAGACCAGGAAAACAAATGGCCGGATTGTCAAACACACAAACGAACAGCACACGGGAAATTGATGGCAGCTGTTCCAGCCAAAGCATGGACCTAACATGCTGCCTTAAAGCATCATTAACTTTAGTATAAAAGCTATGTGCTACACAGACTTTATTAGGTAGAATCACAGATGTTTAAGAACTTGAAGTATTTTCTCGACACATGTTCACACACAGGTGCTGGGGCGGGGGGGGGTGGGATGTGCTCATGTGTACACCAGAGTGACCCAATGTGTTTGACATGCAGGAAGCATCTGGGGAACTCAGGTAAATGGCCTGCCTTGCCAAAAATGAAAATTTTGTCCAGTCAGGTAAAAATAAAACACATTTACACAAGTGGAAAGACCAGTGAAGTGCCCATACTGGAAACAGTGTCTCCTGGAGAGTAGTAAGGCAGGCAGGAGAAGCAGTAGTGTGGCTCATGTTTGTAGCATAACATTAGTCAGTGATCCAGTTTGCCACTGGCATCTGTCACACACAGTCTGCTCTGGGTGCACCAGGTCGGTCCCTGTCTGCAGCACAAGGTGTGCATGTGCAGGTGAAACACTATTCCACAGTGGTTCCCACACAGCTGCACTACTGTTCAGGCACTCAGCATTCAAGAGAGAAGAAACGCTGCTTCACTACACATCTAGGAATTTTCCCTTTAGCTTAGCATTCATTCTACTTGAGTTCAGTCTAAAATAAACAGCTGATTAATCCAGAGAAAGCAAAACCAAGCTTGATCTGTGAAGACAAACCTTTCCATAGCAAAGATGTGAGCTGAACAGAAAAGCTGGAGAAGAAATGGTGTCCTGCTTGCTCTGTCAGTAATTTCTTTGGCTATTTTTGATAATATCCTAGAAGCTTTTAAAGGACATTTAACAAAAAGGTCACTTGAAGTGTTTGCAAAGATTACGGGGGATCAAGATCCATTCACTATGCACAGCCTGCTACATGCTCAATTCACTGTCATGGAGGAAGAAAACAGCAGAATTAATCCTCACAGAGGAAATTAGGATGATATTGTGCTGGGTCACGTTCCTGGATTATAAAATTTCCACCAGTCAATCCTGAATTATTGCTCTGCAAATACTCAACATAATTTGATAGATACTCTGAAAAAAAATACAATAAGAAATTACTTTCCTTGTGATTCAGAGTGAACATTCCATAAAAAGAAGAGGCATTTAGCATGATACCACTGAATGCCCAGACCTTTATTAATGAAGGTTATATTTCAAAGTAGGTCACTATCATTCTGTTGCTATTAGCCCACCTAACAAGCATATTTTTTGTGCAGTTAGCATGAATTATTCTATCCAGGGGGGAACATGGGCTAGGGTAGACACATTTATCTGTATCTTCAAGGTAGAGCAAGATGTGAATCAAGGTGCCAAAAGCAACCTTTTCCTTAGATATTTTCCTCTAGACCTGTATTATGCCATGGAACAGTCTGCCTCAGTCAGGTGCTTTTCTACAACTTTCACCCTGAAAAACATGTTCTTCCTTAACTACGTCTCACAAATTCTTGAGAACACATGCAGAACTGACATAGGTGTAATAGTTACACAGCTCAAACAGAACGTCAAAGCACACAGAGATTAAAGGTAGAATTTGATTCTCAGCTTTCAAGGTGACTTTGGCTCCTAATACAGGATTTTCTAAGTCACCCACACAGATAAGGGCATCTGCACTTCATGCTCTTCATGGGAATCTAACTCACTAGACACTTTCAAATTCCCCCACATGGCTCTTAAAAGCCATAATTCTGAAGGTCAACAGAAAAGAAGCATTTCCAAAATGACCTGTTTGGAGTGTGGGAAACAGGCAAATTCTCCGAGTCCTTTTACCACATCAGCAACTGGAGTTTAGTGGAAATCCTCTCTCTCATCTGGCAGAAGCATAGGGAGCCTGGCACACTTGATGGGATGCTTCAAACCAAAATACAGGCATTAAACCCATGGGAATCACACACATGAAAAGTGTGCAGTGGAGCAGGGAGATAC